GCAAATGACCAGTCATATGTCTAATATATTATATACGCATATTTAATACTTTGCATAAGTACTCAAGAGTTAATAGTTCCTCCCTTTTAAACTCATCAAAGTTCATTATTGTTCCCATACTAAATTTATTTTTGAAGAGTGTAGACAATAACATATGAATTCCTAATTTAGTAAACTCGTACATTATGCGGATGAAAATCTGAAAGGAAAGAGTTTTTCAGTCTCTGTTAATCACTAAGAGACTAAGACAATTACACATACACAATCAATTTGTATCTTCGTACTATTAACATGTATTTTTGTTATGTGGCTACTTCTAATTATTGTAAGGTAATTGTATTCATTGCATGTATTTTTTATGCGAAATCAAAAGATAGCATTAAGCACCGGTTTCATCAGGGGGAAAAACACTGATGCGACTCTCAAACCTGTACATAATAGGTTCTAGTACGGATTACAAGTTCACTAACAGTTAAACCATCTATCATACTCATTTTGGAGGGCATGATCTCCATGTACTCTATACAAAACCTCATCACAAACTACCGTCACCACCTTCTTCGGATGCCTAGCAGACCTAGTTCCATACATCCGAGCACATCGTTCCCTCCATATGTGACTAAGGGCCGAACTCCATAGCAACCTACACATCTGATGCTTTACAGACTTCGTCATCCACCTCTGAGCACACCAGTTCACAATATCGTCCCAATCCCCAACTACAGGAGGTGACTTACAACCCAAAACTTGCTGCAAAACAAATACAGTGTAAGAGCAGTTCACAAGTAAATGCACCTTATTTTCATAGCCTCCAGGGCACATTACACAGAGTCTTGAAACAGGTTTCCCCCAAGATAGCAATTTATCTTGTGTGGCCAGTCTATTTCTCATAGCAAACCAAAGAATCATGTCATGTTTTGGAATCACTTCTGGAGCCCATACAAGTTTCCACCAGCGAACCTCTTATTCATGATGCCGAATAGAATTCCAGGCTTTTGTCACAGAGTACTTAGACATCTGCTCCCCTTGCCATAGAGTATTAAAATCAATTCTAAATATGAAAGGATAGATCAATACTCGACACTTTAGAAATCCTTTCCAGATCCAAGTACCTGCAGAGGTTTCTGAAACATCCCAGATTGACTTCTCCTTTAATCTATACCTGGCAACCCAAGCAAAGACCCCATTGGTCAAGATCTCCCATATATGTCTTGAAACACATGCTTTGTTCCAGATATTGAAATTTTGAATACCAATCCCCCCCTTCTTTCTTTGACAGGGCCAATTTGTCCCAAGCCATTACTGTTCTTTTCCTGCTACCTTCCTCTGCTGTATCCCACAAAAACTCAGTGCAAAGCCTCTCAACTTCCTTTATTACATACTTAGGCAGCAGAAAAATATTTAGCCAATACTGCAGAGTACTAGAAATTACAGTGGAAATAAGTTGAATCTTTCCTGCATAGCTCAACAACCTAGAACGCCAGCTCCTCAATTTCTAATTATTTTATCCACAATTACTCGGCAGTCAGTCCTTACGAGCTTCCCTGTAATCAATAGCACCCCAAGTACCTAACTGGAAGAACTCCTAGAGGGAATTCAATATGGGCAGATATAGTTTGCATCTCTTCTTTGATATCCCTGCACAAAATAATTGGCATTTTACTGGATTGCACTTCAAGCCAGATAACTTGTAGAACTATCATTAACCTTCTAACACCAGCAACCCCGCTAACTGGTCCATTTGTGAACATCATCAAATCATAGGCAAAACACAAATGTGTTATCATAAGCGATTTGCATTATGGTGAAATGTTATTTGGTTCTGTAGCACAACTTTCCTAGCTAAACAGTCAAGGACCTCCATTGCTATTGTAAATAGATAGGGAGACAGTGGATCTCCCTGTCTCAGTCCTTTACAAGTTCTAATATTTCCACACAAACCTCCATTAATAGTGACTCGAGTTGGTGTAGTAATGCAGGCAGACAACAACTTTAGAAAACCCAGAGGGAACCCCATTGCTTCCATAACCGTGAATAGAAATTGCCAGTTAACAGAGTCAAAAGCCTTCATTATATCTATTTTGACCACACACCTTGGGGTGATGTTCTTTCGATGATAATTCCTAACAAGTTCTGATACTAGCAACACATTATCACTAATTACCCTCCCTTTGATAAAAGCAGACTGAGATCTACTAATAATGCTAGGAAGAACCAATGCAAGCCTATTGGACAGTAGTTTAGATATTCCCTTATACATGGTATTACAACAAGAAATCGGTCTGAAATCCTTCATTTTTTCTAAGCAAGGCAACTTAGCTACTAAAGTAAAGATGATACTATTCATAATCGATGGCATGGTATTACAACAAGAAATCGGTCTGAAATCCTTCATTTTTTCTAAGCAAGGCAACTTAGCTACTAAAGTAAAGATGATACTATTCATAATCGATGGCATGATTCCAGAAGAAAAGAAAGAAAGTATTACCTCTTCCACCTCTTTTTCAATTTTATCCCAGTGTGCCTTATAGAATTCTATTGGAAACTCATATGGTCCAGTAGCTTTGTCTTTACCAAGCGATTGAAACACATCTTTTATTTCAGCTCGTGTGATCCCCTTCATTAACATAATCCTCTCATCATATGATAATTTGTGCTGCAGGAGTCCTTGATAATATTAAGTTGATTGTTGTTCCACATTAGGATTCACCGTACCTATCACTGAGTGTAGAAATTCACTGCAATCTGCCCAATACTTGCCACATCAGTTTTGATTTCCCCCTGTCATAATCATAAGAGTGATATGTTGCTTCTGAGTCTTGACCTTTACTGTCTTATGAAAATAAGACGTGTTAGAGTCCCCCCTCTTTTATTGCCCTCATTCTAGCCTTCTGCTTATAATATAGCTCCTCAACTTTCTTTAATGCCATATACTCCAAACACAATTCCTTTTCTGCTTTTACATGCTCCTCCTTTGGATCAGTCAATACTGCCATTTGAGCAACTTCCAAAGCAACTGATGCGTGTTTCACTCTACCAGTAATATCTGAATATTCATCTCTATTAAGCTTCTTAAGACTCTGCTTGACACTATGTAACTTCCCATTGAAAATGTAATATGGATAGCCAGTCACCTACTTCTGCCATGCGTGCTTAATAATGTCCAAGTATGTAGGATGAGATTGCCAGAATACAAAATACTTGAATGGCTTAGGAAGTGTATTCAACTTAGGATTTGTATCTAGAACTATGCCACAGTGACCAGACACTCCTAAGGGGTTAGTGTTTGCTGAACTATTCCTGAATCTCTCCAACCAAACTTCATTTACTAACACCCTGTCAATCCTTCTTGCAATTGGGTTTGCATGTTGCTTGTTCCACCATGTAAACCAATTCCCAGCAACCTTATGGTCAATTAATTCCATATCACTTATCCAGCCTCTGGAATCAATCATACTTTGAGTAACAATCTCCTTATTGGATGCTTCATTGCATATATTTATGTTAAGAGTTAATTATTATTATTTATGTTTATTCATTATATAAATTATGGAGTGATCTGAGATTTTTTCTTATGCAATAATATAATATGTTATATTGGTTAACTGTTTAACCAATTAAAGAAATCAATTAAATATTAATTTGATTAATATGGTTGTTGTATTAATTTGATTGCTTTGATTATGATATTATATTTCATTATCAATAAAATTTAGGCTTATTTTATTAAATTGTAAAAATGTGGTATTCAATAGGAATCCCAAGACATAAGCACTCTCTTTGGGAAGAGGTGCAAATGGAGGGGGTGCATATTAGCTGGGGTAAATACAATTCCCAAGACAAATGCACCTATTTGGTTAAGATGCAACAGTAGTAGGGGTGTGTTTAGATGCCTAAATTTTTTGTACCTAAATTTTTTTATTATTGCATTTTAGTATCTTAACTTTTCAAAATTAATATATTGGTCCAATGTTTAGATGCCACTTTGATACATGAATCTAATCCACCAATTCATTCGATCCAAATCCATAAATCCACAAATCTCATCAATTTTCCATGAATCCAATCCATTTGCCACTTTTAGTTTTGAATGACTAGTTTCAAGAATAAAAATACTTTGTCATTGAGTTTCAGGTTCATTTGAGAGTGCTAACATCTAATTTGTTGGTATGGTGCTAAAACTAATCCCACTATATAGGAAAGTTGTCGTTTTGCCAATTTTCTATGTGCACGGGTTAACCACACCCTAACAATGATTTTTAAAGAGAGGGGTATGCTTGTTGTTGGGGGAATTACCCAACTCGTAGCGCGCCCACACCTATTCACCCAGCTTGCATCATGAAGTCCCATTTCATTAAACGCCCACATACCCTAGTAAATGCAATAAATAGACCATTTACTCCGAAGTAAAGGAACTCCTTTTCTATTTTGTATTTTGAAAGATTTAGCTAATAATTAAAAAAATTGAATAATTTGACTAATAAATTGTATTTACCTATAACTGAACACATTCTTAAGATCCTGATTATGATTTCATAAAAAAAATTGTTTGGTTTAGCCATTATAATTATCCCTTATCAAAATTAATATTTTAGAAATTCACTATCTTAGAAATTCACCGCAATCTTCAAACCTTAAATTCGACAATAATCTACTTAATTATTAACATTTAACACTATTCTAAATTCATGCATTTGTAAGGTTTGCCACTAATTTGGATTTCAGTACAAGGAAAGCAAGTCCAGAACAAAATTCTACATAGACTCTGAACAAAGTCTCTGAATCCCATCTTGTCCCCATATCAGATCAGACCAGAATGTATTCTATCTATGCACTCCCCAATCCCCAATTAATAATGTAAAATTTACACAATCCTCATCATTACAATTAACAACCAATTAATTTTCGGGAAAAAATTAACAACCAATTGGAAAAAGCAAAGCAAAATGGATTGTGTTATTATTCTGATTTAGCATTATATTAAAAAATATCAAAGGAAAGCCAATCAAGCAAGGAATCAATGGGTCCCATAAGACACTGATGGACCACCTGTCCTCTTCCCCCCCCAATAAGCTCAGTTCTCTCTTCTTCATCAAGCTTACTATCAGCCAACAGAGTCATTCCCCCAATTGTTCTCTCTCTCGCCTTCCCAACAATGGCCGCCATTGATTCACTCCCCCTTAAGCTACACGACAACCTAATTGCATTTACCTCCAAGCTCTTCCTTGCCATGAAGAAAGCTCCACTCTCTAAAGTCTAAACCCCACTCACCATCAAAATAATTTCCCCGAAAATTACTCCTCTAGCTCCCATATATATACGTCATAACCCGAAACCCTTGTCACTTATCCCCTGATCATCAAAACCCACAATTTTTCTTTTTCAATTAAGAGCTCGGTATGGATCTGGAAGAGTGGGAAGTTCTTCCCCGAGACGCAAGCTTCTTTGATTTCCATGACGATGGCGGTGCCAGGGTTTCTTCTTCCCCTGCAAAATCATCATCAAGGAGAGGTTCTTCTTCTACCTCTTCTCCTTCCTATTCTTGTATGAGCCCTAATTATAGCGTGCTAGACATGAATTACTTCATCTGCCCATCTTCTCCGCCAAAGAGCTCAATCTCAAGGGTTGTGCTTCCCATCGAATTGGAACCAACAGATCACCCGAGCCCACCACAGGAGGAGCAACAGCTCACGGATTGCAGCAGCTCCCGAACTAGGATGATGATGGTCATCCCAAAAATTAGCAAAGCTCCGAGCTTTACTGGATCTGTTGCTGTTGGTTGTGGTGGTGGTGGTGATCAGGACTCTGTTTCCCAAGTCTTCTTCAAGAAGATGAAGGAGAATGAATTTGTCGACATGAAACTGGACTCCCCAAAGTCCCCAACTATGTCATCTCCACCGTCATCCCTCTTGTCCTCCCCCAAATTTGGTGCTGGCAAGTTCAGCTTTGAAGACAACGGTGCTACTAACGATCCAAGCTTGGAGAAGGAAGAAATTGGGTGGGATGAGGGCAGTGGTAAGGATGGTGATAGTGGTGGTGGTGCTTTGAACATTTGGAGGTGGAGCTTGCACGGGGTTGGAGCCATTTGCTCATTTGGGGTTGCTGCCGCAACTGTCTGCATCATCATCTTTGGCAATCATCAGAGGAACCAGCAGCACAAGAGGGAGCAGCAGATCAGGTTCCAGATTTACACTGATGAAAAGGTTTGCTCCTTTCTGAAATTCCCCCTTTTGATAATTTTAGGTAGTCTATGTACTTTTCCTGTACCCATGTCCATTTTTCTTAGATCAGCGTTTGTGTCCTTAGTGCATAATTTGGGCATTCATGAATCATAGAGGGGTATCGTGCAGAATTTGGTATCTTGATGCAAGTTTGCAGCTTTGTGTGTGGAATCTTGAATTATTGCTGATTGTCTTCCTTTACCATGTTTGTGGAACACTCCAAAGTCTCTATCTTTTGTCAGAGAAATGGCCGGATAGGGGATGGGGAACCATTGTAGAGAAAGAAAGTGATGTGTTTCTTGTAGTTGTGTGGCAAGTGGCATCATCCTTATTCCTCCCATTTTCCTTTGATTGATCTGTGGAATTGCGATCAATGTGTGCAGAGGATAAAGCAGGTGGTTCAGCATGCCACAAGATTCAATGATGCAATTTCAGCAGTGAGAGGGGTTCCCATTGCAAGGGCTCAGGTCACTTTTGGTGGCTATTATGATGGCATTTAGATCCTAATTCCTTCACCTCACTCAGCTTCTGGTGGGATCACCCTATAATGAGGGTTCTGTATATAGGAAATTATATGTTATGTATAAGTATAGTAGCTATAGTGGACGGTAAAATTTTGTGTTTGTTTGAGATATTCAATGTTCCAATATGGTACCCGTTGAGGCCATTTGATAGGTTAATATTTTCGTAAAGACTAATAGCATTTATAAATTAATCATATTGTTCCATTTATATACTAAATGACGTTATTTTGCTTCATGAGTGGGGGTCAGTGGAAATGGGGGTTATGGCAAAACCCAAACTCAACCCACCAATTTCAAAAGCGAGTAAAACTCGCATCCAACCAAAAACGCGTCAATATGAATTTTACTCGCTTTGACTGGGTTGGGTCGGATTGGATAACCCTTGGGTTTAGGTTCAATTCCCATCGCTAATTGTAACGGCACAAGTTGCAAGGAAAAAAAGGGTAAAATGTAGTATTATTTTAGGTATAATTGGGTAAGAAGTTGTTTATTTGATCATTCACAAACCCTAACTTCATAGGAATTGTATTTGGGTATCAAGTCGGGTCTAGTATGTTATAAGACAATTAGAACATGACATGAGCACGACTACAGAAACGAAATATAAGAGCTCAAGTATGGGCATGAACACGATTCGATCTTTTAAAAGGGTCGTGTAGGCCATTACGTTTTTAGGATTCAAGCGAGAATAGTCAAGAAATGATACGTACGAGATACATAATTTATACGTCATAAATTTACATAATATCATGAGTTCAAAAAATAAAATAAAAATATAGAAATCATCAAATGCTCTTTTTAAAGGTGATCATAAAAATATTCCGTGTGATTAATACCATAAATAAAAATACCCGAAAAGAACAAAAAAGATGCAAATGCAAAATCACTCTCGTTATACTCCCAATTTTTTTTTCTTCCAATTATACAGAAATATAAGCATGACTCGAACCGTGCCCTAACCTAGATCAAACCAAAAATATTTGAGACATGAGCTAGCACGACATGGTATGAGATGAGAATGAGAATAACGGAATGTGTCGGACACAACCCAATAAGACCTTAAGGAGTTAAGCCCTGGGCTGAACGCGATCCAATGGCGCCTATATACAATTTCAAGTTTTCAACTAAGGAAGTCTAAATTTGCAAAGTTTTTATGACAAGACTTTAGTTGAGGGTTCTCTTTGCAGGCCGTGTCGCATTTCGTCGGTGCTCATCTCATCATCTCCACCAAGTAGATGTCAAACATAGGCAAAGCCAGAGGCTTTTAGCTCTGTCAGTAGAATTCTCATATATACTTATGGTTTTTTTATTGCATAAAAATTAATTTATTATACGAATAAATGAAATTTTTGATAAAATAGTTTATATTATGAAAAAATGACACATCTTGTTTCAATTCATGGCTCTGCCACTAATGTCAAATAGCTCCTAGCTAGTACTTTCTCTTGGACAAAGTTGGCACCTTGTCAAAATCATTAAAGAAAAATGAGATTTGTTTGTTTTTCAAGCAACAAAATTCAAACATTTAGCGATGAAGTTACAAGAAATTAAGAATACTAGTTGAAACTCGGACATATATACTACTATTTTTAAGGGTAATGACTATTTATTATTCAAAGTTTCAAACCTTTTTCGGATTATTTTGTATTAGTCAAACCTATCAAATTAGGCAAATGTTAACTTTCAGTTAGCAAATTTGTTAGTAATGTTTGACCCATCTAGCTCCGGATCGAACAATGATATTTGTTGGACGCGGGGTTGACTCACGATTCGTTCGTCTGATCTCGTCGGGAGGGAGAGAACCTGTGAAAGAGTCGGGGATGCCCCCCGGATTAAGCTCCGACGGTCAAGTTAGTGTCGGTTTATGGAGAGAGTTGAGAGAGTAGATAGAGAGATGAAATGTAGAGAGATAGTAGAAAGTGTCCAGTGAGGAGAGAGGAGAAGTCCCCTTCTTTGGAGGGCTTCAAGCCCTTATATACCTGTAGCGGGTATCGAGCGTTGGGCATCGCCGATTATGCGCCCTACTGCTTAGTCTGTGCGCTCCGTCCCTTAGTCACACCCCCAACAATTGCCCCCCAAGCTGGTGGTGAGTTTTAACTCATCGCTAGCTTATACTTTATTTTTTAAATCTTTGTCGGTAATTTTGGGTGGGGCCTATGTACCCCAGTTGCCCCCCAGCTGGTGGCGCGTTTGAGTGACGCGGTGCCAGCTTTTGCGTCTTGCCCCCCATTAGCGCCATCAACGCTTAGGATAGTAAAAATATTTTAAAAATTTAATAATGATGGAGGGATAGAGTACTTAGCTTTATATTGGCGGTGGCGGCAGGAGTAGTTGAAAGGCAGGCGCTGCGCCATTGAAACAGAACCTGAGTGGTAGCCTGCAGGTTGTTCTTTCGAACTGGGCGCGAATAGTGCTGGACTATTGCTAAGTTTTGTTCTTTCGAACCATGTCTTTTTGTTTTTTGCGCGAATAGTGCTGGACTATTGCTGATTTTTTTTTTTTTTTTTTTCGAACTGGGCGCGAATAGTGCTGGACTATTGCTAAGTTTTGTTCTTTCGAACCATGTCCTTTTGCGCGAATAGTGCTGGACTATTGCTAATTTTTGTTCTTTCGAACCATGTCCTTTTTGCGCGAATAGTGCTGGACTATTGCTAATTTTTGTTCTTTCGAACCATGTCCTTTTGCGCGAATAGTGCTGGACTATTGCTAATTTTGTTCTTTCGAACCATGTCCTTTTGCGCGAATGTTAAAATTCAGGCGCCACACCGTTGAAACACAAGGTGCTTGTGGCCTGCTGGTAAGGATGCTTACCTGTCGGAAGAGTGGCGCGGGTTCGAGTCCTCGTGGCGATGATATTTTTTGGAGAGTGCTGAACAGTTGAATGCACGCGCGAGTTGGGCCGCGAATTGGGCTTGCGCGCGTCGCGGGCTGGTGATGCGGGCCGGACGCGAGTTGGGCTTGCACGCGTCGCGGGCTGGGGGAAGACGCTGCGATGCTTGTGTCGCGAGTTGGGCCTGCGCGCGTCGCGGGCTGGTGATGCGGGCCGGCGCGAGTTGGGCATGCGCTCGAGGCTTGTTCCCGCGAGCTTGGGAGCGGACGGAGTTGTGCGCAAGGAGGCCTTGGAGATCGTCCGCGAGTTGGACAGGCGGTCAGGTGGGCCTCGAGTTGCCCAAGAGCCCTCTTTGCTCGTTGCTGTCGAGGCGAGTCAGAGTGAATAAATAGGGCGCGCTGCGCTTTAGTAATAACAAAGCGCTCTAGTCCGCTGGTTAACTCGTACGTCTGGTGGAGAAATGACGCCGGTTCGACGATTGCTGGCGACGATATTATTTTTTGAAGCGCGGCGAGAGTCGCGAGACCCGTGTTGGGCCGGGCTGGTGAGTCGGGCTTCGTTCACGCGCGGAAGTTGAGCGGGATTCGGGCCGCAAGTTGAATTGTGTGGGCCAAGAGAGTGGTGGGCGAGCGGAGACGGGCCTCGAAGTGGGGCTGGCTGATGTGGGCCGCGGGTCCTTGGCAAAGCGGGCCGCGCTAGTGACCTGGTAAGGCGGATCGGGCCGCGCGTTAGGGTTTGGCCAGGGGCTCTTGGGTGGGCTTCTGACGAAAGTTGATGCCAAATGGTTCGGGCCTGTGCTGGAGACGGATTTGTATGGCCCAAGCAATTGAGCGGGCTGGTCTTGTTGCAACTTGTACGCGCGGCTGTGGCAAGGAGAAGTTTTTTTTTTTTTTTTTTTTTTTTTGACGAGGAACGCTCGGCGGGGACGGACGAAACGCTCGAAGGAGGAGATTCGCGAGGCACTGAAGTAGGGAATGGCGCGGGCAGTGTTGGCGGACTGTTGTGGGGGCTGCCGCGTGGTTTTCCGTCGCTACTTCATGATGGAAAATCTTCCGCGAGATGGCTTTGAAGGGCGGTGGCGCGGGTTGGATGAGGATGAGCCTGAATTTGTGCGGGGGCAGGTCGAGCGTGACACCATGGAGTAGCGGCAGGTGGCGATTAGTTGAAGCTTTCCTCGATTTGAAGCCGCGCAGAGGAGGTTAGAAGCATCGCTTCACCACCGATGAGAGGAGAGACGGGACGAAGCTCCCCCCTCCTTTGTTACGCGATCCACCCTCTATTTCCAGGCTGGAACCAACTTGTGCTGAACTTGCCTCGGTAGTCCCGTTGTCTGCCTCGGGAACTCTGCCTTTCCTTTTTTTTTTTTTTGTTTTTTTTTTTTACAGGGGAAGCAAGTGGTTCTGAGAAAGCTTCCCGTCTACTGTTTCCTCCTTGATTGCAGGGACAAGGACTTTGGAGGATGGGAGAGAAGGTGACATTGACGGCAGCAGGTTCATTTATCATCGTCGGAGCTCCGCCACCATTTCCGGCGTTAGGACTCTGGGTTTTTTTTTTATTGGTTTATGGAGAGAAGCAGATCTGGTCTTTCTTCGAGGGTTTAGGATGGCGGTCGGCAACAACAAGGAGCTCCGTCGGCGGGGATGCTATTGCTCCTCTGATTACTTTTTCTTCTTCTTTTTTATGACGTCGGAGCTCCGGCTTCTCGTTGGCTTGGGCGTCGGTGGAGACGAGCAGCTTGGTGGCTACTGGTGGCTATGGCGGGGACGAGTGATGGCGGATTGTGCTGGAGTTTCCGAGCTTTGCCCTTGGAGGTGAACCGTGGTCTGCTGGCCGGAGCTGGATCTGCTTCTCTTCCTCGAGCCATTAGTTTTGTTGTTTTGCTTTTTCCCTTCTCTTCTTTTGTTGCGGCCCAATGTGGAATGCCTCTTCTAAGAGCTAGAGAGAGCTAGATGGACGGTGCGGCGGCTGGGTGACGTTGGTGTCGACGCCATGAAGTGAACGGCGGAAGAAGCAGATGTTGACTTCGACATTGACCCTGCAGCACGGCGGAATAGCGAAGGAGTAGGAGGAAGAGCCGCCGGCTCTCCACCGTAATTGATTTCTTCCCTCTTTCAGAGACCAAACAAACGAGTTCCGAATCATGGCCCCACGGTGGGCGCCAATTGTTTGACCCATCTAGCTCCGGATCGAACAATGATATTTGTTGGACGCGGGGTTGACTCACGATTCGTTCGTCTGATCTCGTCGGGAGGGAGAGAACCTGTGAAAGAGTCGGGGATGCCCCCCGGATTAAGCTCCGACGGTCAAGTTAGTGTCGGTTT